TTGTCACCTTTCTTAAGTTTGAAGCCTGGCATTCTTTCTTGTCTATCCCTCTTAACTAAACTATTAAATATATAGTCTTTCTCTAAGTCGGGGTTGTTTTTCATTTCTTCGGGGGAGTGGTTTCCCAAACCTTTTTGTTTACGGTTATTGTAAATATTTAAAACTTGTCTCATCTTTGCCATGGAGAAGTGTCTATACTTGTCGTCATATGACATTTCATTTGCTTCACCACCTTGTGGTTGATTTAAGTCTCTTAAGATTTTTATACAACTGTCAATGACACCAAGAGCAGAATGGTTTTGGTCGACAATGAAATATTGGTTTACATTTTTTGAACGCAGATAGTTTTTAATATCGTCTGATTTGAAAGAACTTTCACAGTCAGATGTCAGTTTTGTTGGATGGTATTTGTCAACGAATATTGTCAAAGCAGTTTTCACATCTAAAATATTTTTGGACCATAATGGTATGGCTTCACAGTATCTTGTGTTTTGACCGACAAATATTAGCCAGTATGGAGGTCCATCTTCTCTATACCTCGGAATGTTTTCCAAGATATCCATAAACCAAGCATTTGGTGTTGAACTAAAGATTTTTACCATGAGTGCTTTCTTTGTTGCCTTAGAAACATACGGGTCCTTGTTTGAATTCGTCATTTTTAACCCATAAGAAATGGGTTTATTTGGCGCATTAGCAGGAGTCGCATCTAGATTTTTACCCGCAGTGGGAACACTAGCCAGAGGTGCATTTGGAATTGGAAGGAAGATTTTGAGTACATTAGGTATACTGAAAGAGAAAGCACAACCTATTATACAAACCGTACAGAAAGGTTGGGAGGTAGCACGAGATGCAGCAAATCTTATTCCAAATCCTGAAACAAGAGGAAAAGTTCAAGGATGGATGGACAATGTAGGAAGACAAGCAGGAAACTACTATAACAAAGCAAATGACTACTATAACCAAGCAGGACACTACATGGACCAAGGTGAAAGATTCTTTAACAGAGGATATAACCATGCACAACAGTGGGTAAACAACAACCAACCTCAACCGCCTCAAACGTGGGGAATGTAAATTTTTTACTGAGATGAAATGAACAATACAGCATTGAGACAAATGGGCTCAAGATGGATTTGTCGGCTTCCAGCAGTTACACACCACGTGTTTGTCAAGTTCTTCCTATACCTCAGGAAGTTTTAGACCGACTTAAAAAACCTAAACAACCAGTTGAAAACAAACCAAACTAAAATTTTTTACTGAGATGAAATGACCGAAGAAGTTGAAACGGTAGATTTGACACCACAAACAAAAAGTTCAGAACCATTGTCAAAACCTGTCAAAGAACTTACAGATGAAGAGAAAAATTCAATAATAGAAAGTGTGAGGTCTGGAAATACAAACCCTAACTACAAAGTCACTTTTCATAAAAATGGAACGGCAAGTATCTCAAAAAAGAAACAGACTCTCACAAATAAAATATTGAAGTCTGAAGGAGTTTATGAGACAACAGATGGGAAAGTTTACTTCACTGACCAACAGTTCATTATAGAACATCTCATTGACTTAGAGTCGAAATATTCTAAACTTTACAACAAACACAAAAAATTGAAAGGAAAACAGAAACAGATGGCATATGATATTTATGAAGATACTAACGACACAACTGTTCCAGCAAGTGAGGTAAAGTCAGATGAACCGAAAAGTGACGAAAAACCAATAGAAGAAGATAAACCAAAAACTGAAGATAAACCAAAACCAAAGGTTAGTCTGGAGACTAAACCAAGTCAACCTTCATTAGCTGATATGGGTTGGCGTCAAAGACTTTTGGCAGCCGGTGGTTACGTAAAGTAAAAAAACATTTTTTTATTTTTATAGAAATGCCCCCGTATAGAATAGATAGAAAATCTGCTAGAATAAAAGCAGAGTTAGAAAGATATGGTTGGAAAGTTTCAAAGAAGTTTAAATATAGGAAGGGAAGACCCATAAAAGTCTATGACAAACTGGCTGATCTGACCTATGAGATGGACTTAGAAACAGCGCGCGCCAACTATCCAAACAGACTTGAGAGGTTAGAAGAAGAGCGTCTTATGGATATACCTTTCAATGTTAGTGAGCCTCAAGTTGAAGGACACGACGGCTTTGCCAGATTTTACTGGAAACATGACGAACAATTGCATCCTTTGAGGAGGAAAAAAGGAAAAGGTGAAGACGCACATGCTCCCATGGAAAGAACAAGATATGCATATGAGAAGTATCGCGAGGTTCGAAGTAAAATTGGTTCTGGTCGAACCTTTACAGTAAACTTTGACGATGGAAAGAACAAAGAAGGCTTCATGGGAGTACTTGCTGCCATACAAGACGGAAATAAGAAAGGATACAATCTCAGACTAACAGTAACAGATTTAGATGGTCATATATACTACTCACATGGCAATGAACAAACAGCTGCAATGCTTCTTGACGCTTTCAAGACTACAAAGAGAGAACAAATGGTTGACTCCGACTCAGATATTTTGAATGCAATTGAAGGAATTGCAAGCGTGAAGTTCGAATGGTATCAACCCAACCCTCAAGCAGTCAGACAACATGCTGGATACTTCCCGTTCATAAACAAGTCTGACAGTGACCTGACAAGGTATGGAATTTACAATTCAATTGAAAAAATTGTCAATGAACCTTGTATTCTTACATGTCTCAGGAACTCTGCTCTTGTTACAGATGAGAAGATGAAGTATCTTGAGTCATGTCTGAAGACGAGGTACATTCTCAGAAGTCAATTGACAAAGATTGCACAAATCTAGTAAATAAAATAACTTTAATAGTTGGTGTCACTTTTT